ACGCCGCAAGTTAAAACATCTTTATCATTTTCTGCATGCTACCTAACGGTGCGGTTTGTATATTGTGTTTGCAACCACGTGACTATGACGTAAGTAATGTCCGCCATCTTGGATGGTTACACCCGGAAGTTTCCAGTTCAATTTCATTCTTTATATGCATTTAATTACACCGTAAACATGATAAAAATGTTTAAATGTATAGGTATAGGGCCTTTAAGATAACGAACCAACGTGTCGTCAGATGTAAGTTGTGTAAGTTACGTGTTGGGTGTAAGTTTCGTATGAGGCCTTCAGAAGTTACTTCACATACAGCCGAGACATAAAAGTCTGGCATCAAATTTCCGAGTACTTAAGATACTGTCTCAAGTAAATCCTTGATCACAATATCTAAGGCTTTTAACACTTACCCGATAAGTGATGCACTCATTTTCACGAGGGCCTAAGTCCAATACTGTGACCGGTTCACAATTACTACCTGTAGGTGATTTAGATGGTTATTTCCACCATCTTGATTTCAGTGGACATTTTATTTATGCCTTGGATGAACACCAAATTACGGCGCTACACCCTTTTCCAATAACCGGGCTCTTTACAAAAGCGGGGCAAGGTTTTCATTTCCGACGTCTCGGATTATATGGCGACCTACATTTGAGCCCTTCCTGGGCCACAAAGTCCATTAAATTTATTACCATTTCCATTTGCTGGGGCTGAAAAGGTCCCTGCCAATTTCATCTAATACTGTTATGCGATCCTGGTAGGGCGTAGGCTACACATAACGGCTTCGAGTTTTTAATATATCACTTTGGATGGCCGCGGCCTGTAGTGGTATAGTACGGGAAGTGGTGCAAATAGAGCTCAATTTGTACGTCATAACACCGCGTTAAGCCAGTGAAGTGCGCCCGGCGTTTCCGTCACAGCCATAAACTTATCGCTTCGTTTATCACCAGCCCAGAGATGCGATTTTCTCGCGTCAACCGTTCCGCATTGTCAACCACTTACCAAGTTATTGAAAACACTCCTAAACTCTCAAGCTCATTCTGTCTTAGAACTCTCGTGGGATCTCGTAAAATCTCGTAGTCTTTGATCGCGTGATGACAGCATCGAAGCGCAAAGTTAACTAAAGAAACTTTGGTGAGAAGTACCACACGTAACCTTCCCAAATCTTCTTGTTACAATATGGAAGATCAATATTTCATGTAGTTCGTTAAAAGACGCTAGACTATAACATACAGTACATGATTAGGTGAAAATTGAGCCCGACCATACGTCATACCGATGAGTAAAACCAGTGAAGGGGATCCCATAAACTAATTACGTCGTTTATCTCTGCAGCAGAGGGCATTTATCGAGGTGTGGGTTCAACACGGAAACTCTTCAAAAAGTTACCAGCCTTCACATAAACTGAAATTATGAACAGTTTATGTTTATGTGCCCGATGCTCATATAGAATGTAATAGTGCGAGACAATTTAATACGTTCGGTGTAAAAATATTTCAATTGCTCTTTATGTACTACGAATCAATAAAAAGCCTTCGTCGAATAAAATAACGGTAAATAACGAAGTCGTTAAGTATTCTCATGGTTCTAACGTACATGTAAGTAGTTTCGAATGACTGTATAAGAATGTGTGCCGGTTGGAACAAAAGGGGGCATTGCGCCATTTGGGTATAGTTACTTTAGATTCATAAATAACATCTATCAACTTAGAAAAAATAGATTAATTTTGTATCGACCCCCTCACAAATACGTTCTCATAAATCAACTTTGTTCCTAATGCGGTCGTACCATTCAGAATTTTTTATTACAACTGGCAACAATATCAACGCTAATGTTTTATTACTTAAGTTGCATCTTGAGTAAACTTTCCGTCCTGAGTATACCCTTTGGGCTTACAGAGGGCTTAAAGAAATCCTTCAGTCGCCAGGGAGTCTTGGTGAGACTGCTGGGAAGTCTTAAGGAATTTCCAAGGCTTTTCTCTTGCCTTTTACCGAGGACAAACTCCCGTTGGCCTAGATTCACATCTGATGAGGTCAAGGCTAGAAGCCTGCAGTGTGCTTCTCTCGTCTGTTACGATCTGGATTCAATTTTATATAAAGGCTTTTACAAGCTCGTGTCCGTAGGATAGCTATCACAGTACAGGCAAGGGGAGCCTATGGCACGTCTTGTGTTAATGGCATAGCGGGGTTATATCGTCCCGCAAACATTACTGGTAAATCACTACCTCATTGCTTGGTTCCAGTAGCCTTTTGGGAGTCCTTCTTATATGCAATGCTGGCGGTGTACCTTTCTGAGGAGTGATGGAGAAATGCAGTGTTACTCAAGCTATGTCTAGACCTATCTTTGGTCGGGCAGAAGAGTGCTCGTCATACAACAGCATTTTACAATACTTAAATCACGCTACGACAGTAATGTCTGCGACATTTTACAGACACATATCATAGGTAGCATTGAGGAATTTTCAATTCCTATTTTCAATTCCTATTTGTTAAGCTGTATTGTGTAAGGTATTCTATCCCTTGCACAAAAACTCGAGTGAAATTTTCTCCTTTTGTTGGTTTTATGGGATTTAGCAGAGCTTTACTGAGGGAAACTCTACTTTCATGTCTTTCTTTTTCTCATTTCTAGTCATTATTGCATTAAAACAAATTCGTGCGCTAATCAGTATCAGAACCAGAGCACTTCAATGCGTAACCGCCTTTTCAGCACCAAGGGCAGTCGGTAGTTCTGCTGTTTGAAGGTATACTGAGGTATTTTGTATTTATTCTTCTAATGCTTTGTCATATCAGATATGGATCCGTTATATCAATGCTTGAAAACAAACGTCTGCGCTAATCAGTATCAGAACCAGAGCGCTTCAATGCGAAACCGCTTTTTCAGCACCAAGGACAGTCGGTAGTTCTGCTGTTTGTGGCGGCAACATAAACTCTATTTCATATATTTCTTCTTCTCATTTCTCGTCATTTCAGACATGAACCCGCTATATCAAGGTATGAGAACAAATGTGTGCGGTATCAGAACCAGAGCACTTCAATGCGTTACCGCTTTTTCAGCACCAAGGACAGTTGTGCTCTTGAGGCGGTAACCATTTACAAAGCTACTGACGCGTCTCTTCTCCTCGGTAATAATCCTAACATACATCACTGACATCAGCCATTCCCCGCCGCGGTAAAAGGTTGATGTACTTGGGAGTCGGAAAAAATCGATGTTCCATACTTGTGAGGGGGTAGCGTGGAGTGGAGAGTAGTAATCATCCTAATGATACATGTCTCGACATTAGGATAGCACCGTGGGGCTCCCTTGCATTAGAAGTTAAATTGGTAGTAGTCTAAAGCATGCCCGTAACTCCCGCGTTAGGCCTAGGAAAGAAAATGTTGTGTTTCCTGTTTTCCGGCCGACCCTAAAAAATGCTGCCCACTCCTAGCCTTTTTTGGTGGAACCCTGCAAGGGACATAGATTTTTTTGGCTGATCGACCATTTCTAGCTCCATGATCTGACACCTGAGTGATGGAACGTTGTACAATCAGTTTTCCAACATTGACATTGAATATATAAGTGTACTTTGTTAAACTATATTGTACAAGTTGGATCACTAGAGATCAACAAACTCTAATAACAAAGAAAAAAAAGGTAGCCCCTACCTACCAGCCCTAATTTTTTTTCAGGACTGAAACAGGAAACACAACATTTTTTCCTAGTCCACACGTCTGAAGTTGGATCACTAGAGATCGCCAAACTCTAATAAAAAACGAAAGAAAAAAGATAACCCCTACCTACCAGCCCTAATTTTTTGAGGACTGAAACAGGAAAAACAACATTTTTTCCTAGTCCGCACGTCTGAAGTTGGATCACTAGATATCGCCAAACTCTAATAAAAAACGAAAGAAAAAAGATAACCCCTACCTACTAGCCCTAATTTTTTGAGGACTGAAACAGGAAACACAACATTTTTCCTAGTCCGCACGTCTGAAGTTGGATCACTAGAGATCGCCAAACTCTAATAGAAAACGAAAGAAAAAAGATAACCCCTACCTACCAGCCCTAATTTTTTGAGGACTGAAACAGGAAACACAACATTTTTTCCTAGTCCGCACGTCTGAAGTTGGATCACTAGAGATCGCGCCAAACTCTAATAAAAAAAGAAAGAAAAAAGATAACCCCTACCTACCTACCTTTCAGGACTGAAACAGGAAACACAACATTCTTTCCTGGGCCTCCCCACGTCTGACGCGGCTAGGATCTCATTCCGGCTGGGCGCGCGGCGATCCGTTACCCCCGGCCGGGTGCTGGATTGCCGCGCGGTGAACCCGCCGTGATGGGGTCAGGCGATGACGGAAGACGGGAATCATGGCCAGAGGCGCGGGAAATGGTCTTTTTCGATTCGATCGACTTTCGAGAGTTTGGAGAAGGCCATGCATCATGCTTTTCGCGGGAAATCAAGCGTTGCTCGCGATTTGGTCGGTGGACTTGTTCCGGGCAAGGGGCGTGACTTAGAGGGGAATGATTGAAGGGATTCATGACAAATATGGACGATGGGAAGGAAGGAAGGAAGGAAGGAGGGAAGGAAGGACGGAAGGAAGGAAACGGGTTGAAACGGGATTGGAGTGTTAAGGGAGAAAAATATATAAAGAAACCGTTAAATCTTACTAACTTTGTTAGCTTATTTATTGCTTATCTTCGCCTTAGATTTAATTTCCGTAGTTTTGCTGTCACTGTAATCTGATTCGCAACAGTTAAATGGTTTGTGTGACTGGTTTTATAGGTAGGAACTTTTCTGCAGCCAGGAGGCTGAATTGCAAGATCCTTTACTTTCGATGTTCTCCAGCATAACGTAACTAGGCTTAGCTTAAGATCTATTTATGTCAAGTTAAGACAAGTCGTATCCTCTTGTCTTGCCATGTTGTAAATACATGATAAAATACGGAAATGTATTATCAATAGGCAATACATAATAAGATACTAGCCAAGCGTAATAACGATGCTTCTACTTCTCTTTTCCCCAGTGATGGCCGGTCCGAGAGTTCCCTACCCGACCAACGTACGTGGCATGGTGGGCCTGTCGGCGAAGTTACCAGCCAGTATCAGCCAAGACAACCTCATCATCTCCCTGACATGGAGCAAGATCGACGGGTCGGTGGGCGGGACCCGGGAGGCCGTCCTGATCTACTCCCCGGCCACCAACACAAATATCGCGCTGGGGTCAGTCAAGGGGAGGTCGACGCTGAATGAAGACGGCTCCCTGGTCATAGACAATCTGACACTGACGGACGGCGGGCTGTACGTGATGACTGTACTGATCAATACCATAGGCCAGGTGGAGCAGTATGTACAACTGAAAATTCACGGTACGTGCAAAACAGTGTGACAAACTGGGCACACAATACCGTAATAAATTTGTTAAACTAGACACACTGAAAATTCACGGTACGTGCAAAACAGTGTAGCAAACTAGACACACGGAAACTTCACGTTACGCACACTGTGGCACACAATTAACAACATTGTAACAACCTGGGCATACTGAAAATTTACGGTACGCTCAGAATACTGTAACAAAAGTTTAAACTAGGCACACTGACAATTCACGGTACGTACTAACAAGGTAAACTGCAAATTCATGGTACGCACAAAAACACTGTATATAACTAGGTACACTAAAAATTTACGGTACGCACAAAATACTGTAACAAACTAGGTACACTGAAAATTCACGCTGCGTAAAAAACGCCGGAACTAGGCACACTTTCATTTCCTTTCATTGCTTTAGTAAAAATCCACATAATAACTTATTCACTGTAAATTGGCTTTGCTTCTAACTTATAGACGCAAAATTTCGGAAAGAAGATTATCATAAATGAGACATATATACAATATTTGCTGATGATAATATCAAGAATCGCACACAGAGGTAAAACAATTTACGCAGACCTGGCTGGATATTGCATCATTATATAACCATTAACATAAATACTGAACAAAATGCGTTCGGCTCCAGGAAATAACATTAAATCGCAGAAATAAATAAGGCAAAATGAGTCTACCAAGCTAATCTAAATCAAAGATGGCACAATAATGAGATCAAACTATATTTCACGGTTATTTGCTTAAAAATAAAGAGAAAGGCTGCAATCAAATAATTCTGAAAAACGAGGGATGATAATTATATTCATTGATTTAAAAATACCTTCTCCAGACTAATAGAATTCTCTAACGGAGCGTTAATCCCCTAGCCGAGTGTGAATAAGTTACTATTGAACGACTTAATCTGAAGATATTTCCGGCTCTTGGCGGTAGATTTTTCATAGTCCTTTCAATAAGCTCAGACAGGAAATATTCAGCAATTAGGTCTCACCAGTCTTGCGTGTCTTCAACACACTCTGTCAGTATCGTGGGGTTTCCTAGTGTAGAGTTGCGGCAACATTTGAAAAAATAAAATTAAAAAGTGATCTCTAAAACGTTGTGCTGTGCACAGCTAGGGACAACATAAGAGTAATACTAGCTTAATTCAATTTTCTATGTTGCCTTGCCATATAACCTTTTATACGAAAATTATTTACATTGTATTTTTATCATCTACATGTACTTTATGCAATGTTTATTAGCCAGTTTTGTTTTTAATTTCGATATGGCTAGTGAGCTGCAACATTATGAATGGTAATACCTGACGAAATCCCCATGGGTTCATAGAAGGTAATGGCAAAAATCGAATGTTTCGCTACATATTCCTTACATGGAATAGAAAAGGCAATTGGACGGGAATTAATTCTCTCTGTCTGTTCTGTTCTGTTTTTCCCCAGTCCCGCCAAGCGTTTCAATAGATTACGCCGGATATCCCATCCAAGTTATCGAAGGGACGTCAACAACGATCAACTGCACGGTGCTCAACTCTAGTGCCTTGGTTCAACCTGCTTACTGGACTAAAGATGGCGTCAAGCTCGATGATTCGAACCTGGGTTCCTTTAGGACCGTACGACTTGATGATACGGGGGACACCAGTAGTTTGTCCCTCCTTATCCCGGATGTGACTCGCGCAAGGGACAGTGGGAATTACAGCTGCGTTGCGGTGCATATAGGAGGCGTGGCGTCAGATTCTGTCAACATGGAAGTGTTATGTAAGTATTTATCAAATCAACTTTAATTATTATTATCACACAATTTTCTAATTCTACAGAACAGCACCATAATTTTCTACAAGCAAGCTAAATATTAATATCTTGGCCAATCCAAAATATGGTAAGACACATCAAAATGTCTGTCACAGAACTATACTAACTATACAGTTATTTTCTATAGTTAAAACAACTGTCTCCATTCCGAAATGCTCCGTTCACAGGCACTGTGTAGTTTGTCTATTACAAAGCTCACATTGATCTTCCTGCAGTTACTTACCTCGATTGGCAAAAATACTAGCAGGTCACCGACTCCTTTAGGCCACAATACAACACTCTCTACCAAACCTAATCGAAGAAAAAAATTCAACGCATCCATCAATTGCTAACTTTCTCTCAGGATTATTTTCCCATCTCAGTGCAATTACACTTCCGCATTATTGAATGTTCGCAATCATTGTGTGTCGGTGGTAGGCTTTACCCTAGATCGTAGAATTGATTGCAGAACTACTGTCTGATGCGAATTTAGGCGTCCGCCAATGCCGCGCTAATTATTTCTACACGACCTAGCACTATTTTTTTAGGCCGCCATTTTGAACCAAAATTTCATCAGTCCATTTGATTACGAATCTAACCACCAACATTATTTCTTTAAGTTGTTGAGTCTAAATAAAAGTGTTTTAATTCGTTTATAAAGGTTAGCCGAGTTCATTTGAAAACCCTAACACTTTAATTAACAGTTTCCAGAGGTGCAAGGCACCTGCGACCCCACTTGTTACAAAGGTCAATCAAAACCTGAATGACGTATCACTTGCAAGCCACGTACGGGTACCTTAGTGAGAGTATTGAACCCAACATCAATCTACACCCAAAGTACAGAACCCTCTACCCCTCTCGGCCACGTCAATATATAATGCAATTTTGCCGTATAGATTACAGGCGATGTACACTCAACTACGAACCCTCAAAATCATTGATTCACCTCTCTGTAATACACTAGTTCGGACCCCCGTAAAAAAGGGATACAGTTTTAATTCATTATCAACGACTTTTGATATCATCAGATTTTTTAAATCGGTTGTTCGTTGAACGGATGTCGATGTTTCACCGTCGTATGTTCGCCCCAATTCCAATTATCAACCGCGTTGTTCGCAGGCATTTGGTTGGTAATTAGGAAAGTGCATTCGCTTCGCTGTGCGAGTAATTAGTAAATGTTACTTCGTGAGTGAAATTGAATTTTTAGACCGATAAGAAAGCCCGGGCCTGTCCATGCATAGCTTGTACGTATGAGGGGTAACCTATTCGCCTCTACCGTGCGGAGAAATAGAACTATCGGCTCATTTACTTTATTGACGGTTAATCTGTCACTTACCGAGGGATGAATACCTCTCTCCCTTTTATGGGCAAAGAGATCAATTACACGAACAGCGTCGAGTTCACGTAATTATCGGATTAAAGTGTCATATTTTCGCCTTCGATCGCACTTTTTAATGTCATCGACGCTCAAGTACCCAGAAAAATGACGGCGAAATATGACGGCTAAGCGAGATCTCCCCTTTGATGCGCCAGACTGGGAGGTGATAACAGATGAGTATGGGGGAAAGTTTGAACAGATTGTCACGGCAAGAATCATCAGTTATCGATTTTTTTGTAGTTTAAAGTTCAAGGTAAGTCCTCGAGGTTTTAGACTTGATGTTTAATCTTCTGAGCAACTTCTGACAAGGCGTGACTAGAGGTGGGTGTAGAAGTGAAAAATTGACACTGTCCATAATAGAGAGTAGCAGGAACCTCATCCAAGTTAACCTTGTGTTCATGCAACGATTAGACTCTATTACGTGGGAACAGGATCCCAATGCGCATGATCAATGAGCCGCCATATTGGATTTCAAGGAAATGAGCCGCCATATTGGATTTCAAGCCAGGAAAGTACAATAAAAAGAAGCGGTAAAACAGAAAAACAGTACTGAGTTGAATACACGTTATTTGTCGGGTTGATATTGGTAACGTTTGTAAATTGCCTTTGCTAGTAGCTGTTTCTGACTCACACAGGAATCTACCCTTTATTCATTGCACGAAATCCTATTTTGAAGCATATCTTAAAACTTACGTTTAAGCATATCGTAAAGGTACACGCGAGTGACGAAAATGGTACCTTTACGTATGTTTTAAGATCTACATAAAGGATGGGTTTTGTGCAGTGATATGCTATACTAGAACTTTAACGCGCCATATTGACTGGGCTATTCTACAATCTTCGTAATGCGTAAGGTATATAACTAAAACAATCTAAGCTTTTGGCCTTACAAGAATGTTAACTCTACTTGAAGAGATAAGTTTAAGACGTGATTAAAGTGGTACCAGCACTCTGTCTCCTACTCTCTGTCTTCCACAAGTCGGCCTGTCAAGCTATATCTTCCAATACATCACGAGAAACCTTAAAAATAACTCAAACCTTAAAATGTTGTCAGAAATTTAAACCCTCCGTTACCTCGCATGATCCTCAATAATCACATTCTATGGTGTTATGTAGTCATACATCATCACAACATGAACGGAGCCGTGCTCTTTATCAAGAACAAGGTGCTGCCTTTTTTGGTCATGTTTCCCGTGATTGTTTACGAAGCTAATTGTCTCTACGTGGGAGCAATATGTTTTTGTGATTAGATATTGCTTCCTGACGTAGAGAACGTATTAACACACATGATGATGAACGTGCGTACCATACGTGAGGTGCTATCACTGCCTTCAATGCGTACCTAGCTTGGTGTCTATTAATACTAATGTTGCCTCTCGAGGTTTTATGTCTGATACAGCAAAACGTCCCATATATCACCGTATTCAATTATCTCCCAGGCACCGGTGGCAAGAGCATCGGCCATAAACTTCAGCCAAATGACAATGACAACAAAGTTTTGGGGATCAGAGAAATAAAATAAAATTGACATGGGAAAAGAACTAGCACCTCTGATGATGCAGTCAGTAATTATTCTGAAGAAGTCATTGGTAGTGTCTTGTTTTTAATGCCCATTCAGGTGTCTTGCCTCGGTGTTAGTAGCTCTCAAGACGATAGTAAACACTTGTGATCTAAGTTTTTGAAGCGTTGGAGTTTTCTAATCAAACCGAAATGGTAATGAAGGTCAGTTGTATCACCAGCATGGTTTTCTTCGGCCTGTACGGTTTTATTGTATCTGTATAGATTTCAAGAGTGACACATAATCGAATTTAGATATAGTTTTAATCAATTTTCATATGTTATGAACAGTTTGTAAAAAAAATTCAATATGAACCATGTCATCCTTGTTTGTTTACATTCCAGTATTTTGTGGTAGTGCCAGTACGCCTTGTGTGGGCTGTTTTAGTGCCAATCAGAAAAATAATTTCACAAATATATCGAAAAGTGGAAATCAATTACAATGACACGAAGATTTTTCAATGACAATATTTTTATTTTGGTGCAAATGCTCCTTTGATTATAAGAACAACCCGTAGCTTGTCAACAAATATGTGACCACAAACGCTCTCCGTAATGCAGCACATTGTCACGCTAATAGCACAGCTTTGCCCACTGCCCCTCCCCCCTCCCCAAGGCCGATACACGTGCATGTACTTTATTAGATCCATATTGATCAAAAGGGCAGCCACGTCCCCCAAATGACACTCTAGATTGTTAGGGAAATCGAAAGGTCTTTGCCTTTAATCATGAAGCAGCAAGTTTAATATCGCTTGTGTAATTCCATCTATCGACCCATATGTTACGACTCTGGCGGGGCTCCGAGGGTATTGATGGGCCTGCGCAATGAATGTGTAATCCGGGAATTTGGCTAACCTTGCCGTTGGCTCGGATGTTGAAAATACAAGGTCATTTCCAAGTTCACGCTTATCGGTTTGTTTCTTCAATACCCTAGGCAATATCTGTTTCTGCAACGCCCGAAACAGCGTGGTTTAAACCCACAGTAATTAAATTTCATAGTAACGCCATGTAACGACTTAGCAATAACCAGTAAGGCATCACATAGAAAGTTACGGGCTATCAATTATAATGAGGGTGGCAGTTTGTTCTGTAGAATCCTAAAATATCAATTTTCCTTTTTTATTGTTTTATGTGGTCATAACGTTCCATATGCACCCAAGGCAACGATGGGGATGGTGTTGTATAAGGCATCTTCTTGGGATATCCGCTTCCCCCTATCCTTGCGGCATGACCCCCCCCCCATAATAATACACTTCAATGCCTTATTTTTCATTATCCATCACGAAATTATTGTCCATCATCTATTGTGTATAACATGTGCTTATACAGCTCCCCTGGTGTGTCCTGAAGACATGTCGTATTGCACTGACGTAGCGATATTTTCCCATCATATTCCCCAGACAATCTAATGATAGGATCCCTCCTATGTCTACAAACCCTGTCCTCAGTAATAGGGTCATCCGCCCTTAAGGCCTTGAATGACAAGATAATTACTTGAAATGTTTCCAACTTTGAAGAAACATGTATTATTGCGTCCACTTATATTCCAATTACTCTTCCAATGATGCTTATCCGAGAAGGTATTGGCGATACGTAATTGTGGTGGTTATACAGCGGTAGACAGGGATAGCCTGCTGAACATGGCAGCTTTGCTACACAGAGGTAAAACAAGGACAGGTGAATCCGAAGCTATAGGTAGAAAAATAATGCATTTAGGGGCACACTGACTTAAAGGTTACATGTCTGAATACTTCGTTACTGTCTAAGCCTAAACTATTCTTTGAATTTATTAAAGCACATAAAAGAAAATACAAGACTGCGGTGGCGACACACTCAAGTCAATTACGCTTATATTGAATCGCTTTTTTCTAATGACGTTCTGTTCTGTTCATCTCCAGATCCAGCGGCGGTCACAAATATGTCTACTGCCGTCACCATAGAAGAGGGGAAGAACCTGGATCTATTTTGTCAGGCGGAGGGATACCCGCCGCCGAACATCACATGGTACCGATCCGCACAAACAGGCCCCCTCCTGACAACCATAGGATACTACACGCTGGAAACGGCCGTTCTGACTCTACCCGTTTTGACTTTGAACGACACACAGGACTACACCTGTGCCGCTTGGAACGGGATTGGAACCCAGGACCTCAAGTCTGTGTCTGTAACTGTGATAAAGGCTAAAAAGATTCCAGGTAAGAATGATGTCACCAAATAACGCCAATATTGAACTGTGTGTAGAAATAAACATATATATATATATATAGATTGCAAAATACAGCCTTTTATATTGATTAGCACGCGTCTACTTGGAATTATCAATTACGTCTAACCGGTAAAACATAATTAAGATTTACATTCTCATTAATCAGGTAACAAAACTGATACATAAAATGTAAACTACGTTGAACTTGCAAATGAAGAAACTACACTTGGTTGATCAATTCTAGACAAGAGGCAGATGCAGTTAATATTGCTAAGTTTGCTCCGTTGTGTTTCTGCGCTAATTCAATGAACTTGCCGAATGTAATTGCTTGCATCTATATTCTTTAACATAAACAGCTTAACTTTGTTTAAATTAGTGCCTAGCCTTATCTTTGCGACAAAGCATCCTGTTAATTCAATTCGCTTAACAGCAAATTGGGCCTATGGTTAATCAATGAGTTTAAAAATTCCTTGGATTAATTCCTGAGAAAGTTTGCCATAACAAGGATGTCAGCATAACAGCATTGCTATCTAAATGGGATGGCTTGCGTTTTAACTTTTATTATGAAAGTATATGATTTCATATAGGTATGGAGACTGTGCTGCTTCTTCTCGAGTCACCACTCTAGTGTGCTATACTCCCCCGCTCCTGTACTCCACATATGCCCTTCCTCTGGGAGGGTCAACAAGGCGCATTCTCGTTGTGGTCCCTGTCCGGCAAATACGTTACCAGCGAATCCTTCTACCACACCACTGCTGCTGCTAACTGTGCTACTCAATTGCTACTATGCTAACGCATTTGTTTGTTTGTTTGTTTGTTTGTTTGGCATTTGTTTTGACTAACACGCTCGCTACTCATCTATCTCTTGCTTAGTTCCGCCTGTGACTATTCCTGATCCAGAGGAGGTGGAGAAGACGTCGTCGGAGACATGGCCGCTGTTCCGGATCGCCATCTTCGCGGGTGCCGCGGCGGGGGGAGTTCTGGTCATCACGGTCCTGCTGCTGGGCGCGCTGGTCGTCTGCAGGAAGGACCGCAATCACGAGAACCACACGCAGTGCCGATTGGTCAGCATCGTTCCACCAATCACAGACGCCGAGATGGAGATGACGACTAAAGAGATCAGCCCGGGGACGACTATGTCGAGGGACAGTTACTCTACAACAAGTCTGCTATCAGGTAAAGTATGCACTGCACGAAAAGGGAAAATTTACCAATGGTAGTAAAGACCTGTAAAGTTGGGTAATGTTTCCTTTCATAACAGTAAAGGTAGCAAATGAAACTTCTGGACTTGCATTTTTATAAACATTGCCCGACTTTACTGTCATTTGCTACCATTGCCAGATTATCGTGCAGTGATGGCAACTTGCAACTCTAAAGTGATTCCAAGAGGATGTGTATGTTACATTTTTGTCATATTCAATCATATTTATATGTTAACAAATAATGCGAAATGCCACAGTTCTTGCGAAGAAAGGTTAACGAAAGCAGAGAAAAGCTAGAATAGAAATAACCAGTAAGGTCTCTTCTAATTATGTACTTTGTTTTATATTTTGAACTAAAACTAGCGATCAAATTTAGTCATTAAGATGAAACAGTCATGACAAGTGGTAGACATAGTGTATTTCAGGAAATACATGAACATCATTAGATCTAGTAGAATGAACATAATGTCATAACATCATTATTAAAACAGGCACGGGTATATTTCATCAACAGTGCTTAACGGTTTCATCTGAAAGAATCTCATGTATCAACTCATGCCCTTAAGTGAACACATGGAAAGCCAGCCGAATATCGATTTATAACATGTAATTCTTCAAGATGCGGGGAGATCCCGAAATAATCGATAGAATCATATTTTACATAGAAATGAAATAGTGAAAATGAAATTACACAGAAAGAAGAAAAGGATCAGTTTTCAGATGAATGATGTATGCATCTTACATTGTTTACTTCATTTGTGTATTTATTTGTTATTTTTATGTGGTATTATCTCTTTGCTAATTATTTTATACTTGATGATGGCCCATGTATAAGTTATACTAACTCGAGTGCGCCGCCATCGCATTCTTGTATTTCTTTTCATGTGCTTTAATAAAAATAATTATGTTCGAAATATTAAGCCATTTGCGGCTTCAATTTAGTGAAACTTGTGAGAACGCGCAGATGGCAGTTACCTGGTTAGAAGTAGTAATTCTATATCTAACATCGATACATTCTTGGCAGAGAAATGCGTTGCCAAGGCGATCGAACCCTATGACGTCAACGAGCCGGGCCTGCTGAAGCTGAAAGTCGGCGACATGGTGGAGGTGCTGAAGACCGGAAGTGACGGGTGGTGGTACGGCTGCACGCAAGGCAAGATGGGAGCATTTCCGGCCGGCTGCGTGACGATGGTGAAAAAGCCGGCAGCTACTGACACAAGTAATGGTGGGTTCATTGTTATGTGTACAACGTCAAATTCATCACGTACTGTAAACCCATTAACTTGTCATACTATCATTAAAGTTCATCTGTGTTGGTAGTTACATGTGTAAAGTTAAAACTTTTGGTCCAACACAAAGAATTCTCTCACCTAGAGCTTTCGACCAGTCACTCTGGTCTTCCTCAGTAGACTGACCCAGTGTGGCTTGTCACGTGGCTTCTTTGAAGTGTGACGTCAACACTGGGTCAAAGGTATCTGGTAGACGATGTCGGCCCCCCGTCGCGGTTCAGTGAAGGATGATACTAATCATACTAATAATCATACTAAATTGTCACACTAATTTGCACTCCTCCTCCCAGACTGTTACTTGAGTATATGAATCCATCCGTGTCGCCATCACTAATATTGCCATCAATATTCATACGTACACCGTAGACATTTTTAATATTACCATCTCCACTGTCATCATTTATTGGCGGTGACTCATTAGATGTATGGGAGTCCAGTTGGACAATTTTATGATGGTTGGAAAGTTGGCGGAGTCCCAATTCAATTAGGCCATGATTGGATAAATGAGCTCCTGAAGCGAGCGGCACGCCCGCCATATAACCACATTAGTCCAACTGCCAGCTTGATACTTAATTATTGTTCTTATAGACTTCAAGTTCAACTTAGCCTGTCATAGACGCTTAGGCTTGTAAACGCTTTAGTTTAGGCAACTTCAATGCTGAGAGTTTGAGTTATAAGCATATTAGTGGCAGCACGATGCTCAAATGTGATATTTTAAAGACTTCAAGTTCAATCTAGCCTGTAAGTGACTCTTGGGTGTATAAAACATATAGTTGCAGGCAAATTATGAGACGTAATTGTGTGGGGTATGAACTTCATAGTTTTCATGTGTAAATATATCATCACAATGTATGATCATTTATGCTTTACTTAATGACGTGAATACATATTTCCTTATCTATATCACCGTAGTGGATACCTATGTTCAATTGTGTGCAGTATATGTCTAGCAATAACAACTACAACCAATGATACATACAAGTCCCATAGATCACGGAATAAAATCACAAAAATGTCATTGAAAAGGACAATAGATTCAACGACGTCCCTATCGTTAACCTCTGCAACTCTGAAGATGACACCCGATGCTCACCTCGACCTGAAAAGGTTACTCATGAAACGAGAATGGCGCGCACTTGTAAAGTGGGAATGTCACATATTAACAGGGTGACCTATCGAATGTTGGAGATTGTGACGACGTTCTTATACGCAGAAGAGATGCACATTCATTCCAAAGTCAATATCAAATGCATCCTTTCATAATCAGTATATGCATTTGGCATTGAATGAATTCTAAGATTTACTAGTAGCTTACAGGCATCCAATGCGATTTCAGAGCAGCTGGAAATACTAGTATTTGAATAAGGCAATCTTTATGATATTGACACCTACTGCTTCTCATTAGCACATTTGAGTCAACATTGCAGACTTTGGCTATTTCAAACCGCAGAAAAATCCACAAGATGAGTCCTTTATTTTTTGGACAGTACCCTAAAAATCAACCCAGGTTCCTTCCAGTAACCATATTCCGTCAATGTTTGCTCAATGAGGGTCAATATACATTTGGATAGTGTGGTAACACTGTGGTTTCAACTCAGTATGTAGTTAAATGACTGGAATATTGACTTTGAAAAATCGAGTTTCCAAGCCCTAAAAACTGCACTGGATGCTTTTAAAATCCAGTTCTTTGACGTGTGTTGTATTTAGCTGCTACCTTGCCCGAGCCTTCCGCGTTTGTGCTTTACAGTGTTCACATCCACCACCATCGGAAAAGCAATTAAGTCTCTCTCAGTCGTGAACTCGCCTCGCCGTTACGCTACCGTTTTATTCGCGCAGTAGCAATTATAGCGAGTCACGGTATGAACCTTATATGGGGAGGAGAAGAGCAATCCTAAAATCAACCAAGGGCTTGCTGTAACAATGATCTTGAATTTTGTATACACGGTAAACGAGAAGGTATCGGTTATGGTAATATCAGGAAAATGATCTGTTAAGATACACGACACGTCCTTAAGAAGATGGCATAAATGCCCCCATTGTGACATTGAGGTACGAAAATCGCTATAGACTACCGTCACAAGTATTGACGCTTTATAAAATGCAGAACGGCT